AGAGAAGAAGGCCTATGTTTGACTTGCTCCTGATTATGATGCTTTGGATGTTGCCAACAAAATTGGGATCATCTAAACTGAGTCCAGCGGGCTAATTCTAACTGTAATAAATTTTTCTCACCAAAAAAAAACCCCCCAAAAAACGAAACAACAACAAACAAAACAAAACAAAAAAACCAACAACAACAACAGAGAGAGCTCAGTTGGCCTAGTGGACAGAAAGTGATGCTACCAAGCCAAGGGTGGGTTATTTTATTCTGAAACCCTCAGGCCTGGTTTTAATTGTTTTTGGTTAAATGTTCTTCTAGGTCGTATAGCACTGGTCTGCCATTTTGCTGTACAGAGGTTAACTCATGGTTGCTGTGATGCTGAACACTGTGACACTGATCTGTCCAATGTGATCATGGTTACCCATGGTGGACAGTGTTTGGTAGAGCTCCCTGATTAAAACAAGTTTGGAAGCAGGAGTGACAGCCACTTCCAAAATAGCTTGCTTCTGGAAACCCTAAAAATTTGGAGAAACGATTAAAATTATACAAGTGTTCAGGTCTTTTGTTTCATAGGGTCGCTATGAGTTGTCTATGACTCGATGACACTTAACAACAACAGTGTAATTATAGGTGTTCTTAAAAAGATATTTAAACTTCAGAAGTTCTTAATAGTATTACTTTATGTTCCTTTGCTTCCTTTCATTGTTTAGCAGTTTAGTACAATTAAATTTGTAAAAGAACTTTAAGGTTTTGTTTTATATTTGGTTTTTTTCAGTGATATCAGTTGATTGTGATTTATTTATAAAATAGTAATATTAGTGTTTGGCTTTTATTTTATACTAATTTATACACTAACTTTGGCTTTTAATTTATACCTTGACTCTTCAAGGTGCCTGTGAATTATGAAAATCCTTACTCCAAATATATCCAGACTGCATTTTAGAAATAGAAAGTTGAGGATTTATTCATTTATTCTTCTTTCCAGCTGTCACATTTAGGACAGATGGTTTTTAGTTGCATTCAGCCACAACAAAATGAATACAATTGCTTTTTGATGTTCTGTAACATCCTTTGTCACGCTTCCTTCCTTTCTAGTTGTGTGTGTTTATTCTTTTATTACTAGTAAAATGACAAAATTATACTAGGTGGACTGGAGTGGAAACTTCCATCGTGTTTTGGGAACCACACATATAAAGGGAGGGACATTTGAAAAAAAAAAAAGGAAAGTTCTGAAATTTAAGATGAGGATTTGTAAGTATGAACTGGATAGGCAGTAATCAATCATTTATCCAACAAATACTGAGTATCTGGGTGTTGCTGAGGAGCTCTGTGGTGAGAGGTTAACTGCTCTACTGCTAAACCCACTAGCCACTCCATGGCTATTGAGAAAGACCTGGCCATCTACTCCCTTAGAGATGGAAGCCTCAGAAACACTGTGGACAGTTCCTTGTCAGATGGAGTTGACAGTTGATCTCTTAAGACCTAACAATATCAGCAGCTCTAGCCAAAGCCTCTTTTCAGCCTCCAGTGATAAAAATAAAATGTAGCATTAAATGAATCATTACAGGTTATAGGGGAAGAACAAGGTGCCAGGGGTTGAATTGGTGGGGATGGTGATTTTGGTGTATATTCAGGGTGAAGGGAGGTTGTTAGGAACATTTCCTCAGCATTTGTTAATTTGTTTAGAGGGTTTGGAGACGACAAACCCTCAATTTCCAAGAATTGAAAGCAGAGCAGATGATTAGAATGGTAGAATCAAGTTAAGAAGGTGTTGGAAGACAATTGGCCGAATTTGGAGTTTTAAAGGCTAGTTGAGGGTTATGGACTTTATATCCAAAAAGTAATGAAAAGCCCTTTGGAAGGGAGATGGTTTATAGTGAGCTAGCATGTAAGCATCTATCGTACTTATTAAAATATTTTTTGAGTGGGTTCAGGACGTTAGATTGGATACTGTTGACAGTTTAAACACAAAGAGTGCCAGTATGGACAAAGAAAAATGGTTCGTTTGAAGTATAGGCAGTCCTCAGGCTGCAGACTGCTGATTTATGAACAACTCTTACTTGCCCTTTAATTTCATGTAAATTTGTCTTCAATTTGAAAAGATTGAACCAGTCCTGCTCCTCACAACAAATTCTTCCTCACAGCCATCTTTATTTGCTCAGTGTGCAGCTTTTACATAATTGAAAAGACTTTGATCCTTTTCTTGCTCTCAAATAAGGCCAAACAAAAACTGCATGAACTTGTTCTGACTTACCTACAAACATTTAAAGACGTACTTAGGAGTGGATTACATTTGTAACCCAAGGGCTGTTTGTGTATTTGGGAAGTAGAAGGGTAAGATATAGAAATTAGGTCTATAAGGGTGCATAATGAGTAAGGATAATAATGTGGTTCAGGCACTCAAAACTTTACATGTATTAAGCAATTTAGCAAAGCCAGAATGCTGCTTAGAAGGGAAGATAGTGATATTACATCTCATATACTGGGGTATGTTATTAGGAGAGACCAGTACTTAGAGGAGGACGTTTTGCTTGTTAAAGTAGAAAAGTGGTTATAACAGTGGGTACAAGCATAGCTGTGATTGAGAGAATGGTGAAAGATTGGGCAGTGTTGCATTCTTTTGTAAATAAAGTTAGAGCCAATTCCATGACATCTAATAACCACGACAATAAATTAATTTAATCCTCAGAACAATCCCATGAGATAGATGTTTTGCAATCACTCTTTGATAGATAAGGAATTTGATGGTGCCAATGGTGAAGTCTTAACCACTAATTTAAAGGGTGGCATTTTGAACCAGTTCATTGATAATTTGTAAACATCATAAATGAGGAAATTGAAGCTCATTTCCTTCCTGGTCCTTTGATTTAAGACACTGGTTTGTGTGGTGTGTGTCTTGAATATAGAAAATGGGGGAGATGAGGTGGAAAGGAGTAGAAAGGATCATAAATTCCATTTTGAGTTTATGTTGAAGCTGTTAGAGCACGTTGAAGTTGAGGGGTCATTATGTTGACATCTGAATGGCAATAGCAAGTGAGCATTTGGATGCACCAGTTTAAAGTTAAAGTAAAAGCTTTAGAAAAGTCTGGGTTTGAGATAGAGATCTGATAATCTTTTGCAGATGACATCCTGAGGAGTAGTTACTAAAGAGAAGTGTAGAGCAAAGGGAAAGGGATTAAGATAAAACCTTCAAAGATAGCTGTGAAATTACTTGTATGCTAGGTCAAATGTTTGGATTTAATTATCACCACTGGACCAATTGGCAGCATCAGGATGGATGGTGAAGAGATTGAGATTGTTAACAACTTTAGTCTGCTTGGCTCCACAGTCAACACTCTTGGCACCAGTAGCCAGGAAATAGAAAAACGTACTGTGATGGAAAAGTCGGCTGTTAGGGACCTCTTCAGGTTACTGAAGAACAGTGGTGTGACTCTGGAGACTAAGGTGCTTCTGATACAGGCTATGGTCTTTGCAATCACTTGTTATGCATCAGAGAGCTGGACAATGACTACCTAGGATAGAAGGAGAATTGATGTCTTTGAGCTATGGTGCTGGAGAAGAGTATTGAATGTACCATGAACTGCCAAGAAAACAAATAGATTCACCCTTGAGAGGGTTAAACCAGGCTGCTCCTTGGAGGCAAGGATTCTGGGGCTTCATCTGACATACTTTGGACATGTTGTAAGGACGGATAGGTCCTTGGAGAGGGACATCATGCTTGGGAGGGTGGAGGGACGGTGCAGGAGGGGAAGACCCTCTATGAGGTGGATTGATTCAGGGACTGGGGTAATCAGGATGGGAGTGTCAGAGGCAGAGTGATTGGCACAGGATAGAGTAGGATTTAGGGCTATTGTACAGTAGGGTCGCTATGAATTGCAAGTGACTCGACGGCTCATAACAACAATCCCTTTGAGTTTATTTGGTTTAATGTGCATGTGGGAAATCAGAGACAGAAGCTAGGCTGTTCTTCTATCCCTCTTTGGTTTTCTAAGATAACTTCTATCAGAGTTTTAGATGATACTCTTCAGGTAGGCTTCTCATTATTCTGGTTATTTTCTTCTGGATACTTTATCAGTGATCCTTTAAAATGTAGTGAGAACCAAACACTGTATAATCTGAGCACCATGGGAAGCCTTTACCTTCTCGACTGCGTTATGGACACTTTTTCTTATGGATTTAGTGTCCATTTATGAGAGGAGAGAGAACCTTATTTTTTTTATATTGTATTGTTCTTATCAGCAGAAGGTTGAGCTTTTCCCCTTATATTTGTTGCCTGCTAAGTCTTCTAATTCTTATCATTGGTGCTTTGTGCTATTTATGATTTGGACCCAAGTTTTCATTTCTCTTCAATGTCATATGCTAGACTTGCCTATTTGGATTTTTTTTTAACTTGTTATTTATTGATATTAGGTATAAACTGTGCTTCATCTGTTCTGTCAATATTACAAGCATTCCATCAATGTCCAAATTTAGATAATTGACTAAAAAGCGAGACCAGGGATGAAGACAGCTCTATAATGTGCTCTGGAGCTGGAGAGCATGGGTTCCATTGCTGCCAGTTTAACAGTTGTAATTGTGGACAAATAATTTTACCCTCTTGGTACTTTACATTCTTTGTCTATAAAATGGAAATCATGGTAGTTACAATTTTCTAAGTTTTGTGGTAAGAGTGAGAAGAGTAACCTAGGTGAAGTACTTTGACTACTGCTTGCCATATTGCAATCAGTCATCTACACTGTTATTGTTATGCTTTATTTCATGGACCTCCATAGATGTTCCTACTCTCTAATAATATATATCCAATTATTATTGTGTCTCAAGGAGTGATTAAAGATTGATAAATTAGACAAAAAACTTTAACATATTAGAACAGAAGAATGTTGTAGAAAATGTCTAAAGTAGAATTCAGACCAGATATATGTTTGTTTGTAGTCTTTGACATTTTCTTATCTATTGATTGAGGTGTTTTGTGAAGCCACAGGGTCTAATTCTTCCTGTTTCCCCATACAGGTATGGCATCACAGTTGCAGGTGTTTTCCCCCCCATCAGTGTCGTCGAGTGCCTTCTGTAGTGCGAAGAAACTGAAAATAGAGCCCTCTGGCTGGGATGTGTCAGGACAGAGCAACAACGACAAATACTATACCCACGGCAAAACTATCCCAGCCACACAAGGACAAGCCAGCTCCTCTCACCAGGTAGCAAATTTCAACATCCCTGCTTACGACCAGGGCCTCCTTCTACCAGCTCCGGCAGTGGAGCATATTGTTGTAACTGCCGCGGATAGCTCAGGCAGTGCTGCTACATCGACCTTCCAAAGTAGCCAGGCCCTGACTCACAGAAGCAACGTTTCTTTGCTTGAGCCATATCAAAAATGTGGACTGAAAAGAAAAAGTGAGGAGGTTGACAGCAACGGTAGCGTGCAGATCATAGAAGAACATCCCCCTCTCATGCTGCAAAACAGGACTGTGGTGGGTGCTGCTGCCACAACCACCACTGTGACCACAAAGAGTAGCAGTTCCAGTGGAGAAGGGGATTACCAATTGGTCCAGCATGAGATCCTTTGTTCTATGACCAACAGCTATGAAGTCTTGGAGTTCCTAGGTCGGGGGACATTTGGACAGGTGGCTAAGTGCTGGAAGCGGAGCACCAAGGAAATTGTGGCTATTAAGATCTTGAAAAATCATCCCTCCTATGCCAGACAAGGACAGATTGAAGTGAGCATCCTTTCCCGCCTGAGCAGTGAAAATGCTGATGAGTATAATTTTGTCCGTTCTTATGAGTGCTTTCAGCATAAGAATCACACCTGCCTTGTGTTTGAAATGCTGGAACAGAACCTCTATGATTTTCTAAAGCAGAACAAGTTTAGCCCACTGCCACTCAAGTACATCAGGCCAATCTTACAGCAGGTGGCCACAGCCTTGATGAAACTCAAGAGCCTTGGTCTGATTCACGCTGACCTTAAGCCTGAAAACATAATGCTGGTGGATCCAGTGCGCCAACCCTACCGAGTGAAGGTCATTGACTTTGGTTCTGCTAGCCATGTTTCCAAAGCTGTTTGCTCAACCTACTTACAGTCACGTTATTACCGGTAAGTAACAAATACTTACAAAAGTGTCTTAGAGAAATCTGTCTTTATAGTTAACATAGAACAACATATAGGATTACATATAATAATGGGTTTGTTTACTTATAGATTTCAAGATAGGAATAAAATACTGTTTTCTCTCTCTTCACTTGTGTGAAATCCTCCTTAATTATGTATGTAGCATACCCTTAATTACGAAGTTTTACTTGGTATTAGGAAAATGAACTCAAGCTGATAGTCAAGCTTATTCTGAAGGTTGTTGCTATTTGAATTATACCAGCTTGGTTTTTTTGTTTTCCTTCCTGTCAGGGAATTGAACCCTATACTAACATTAGTTCTTTCTTTAGTAATATTGCCCTGTTTCTCATTTTAAGTATATGAAGATATTTGTTTGAACTGAATCTAATTTTTAGATTGTATTATTTTTTTCCAGGATTCTTTTTGGGGAGGTAAAATGCCTTGTAGATAAATTCAGGTTTAACCCTTAACAGTATGTTATTCTTTGGCATTTTCTTTCTTGTAAAATAGCGAGTCCTAGATTACTTGATTAAGCCCTCTTTCTGTTTTTGGTTTTTTTCTTTCTCTTTCTGTTTTAACATTCTTCAAAAT